CAAAACCGCGTCTCAAAAGCACTTTTACATGAGTTTTTCGTTTATTTTTTCAGCTCGTAACGATAGAATCAGCAGATTTAAAACTATTATGCGTGTTATCAGAAAGCATTTTGGCATAATTTTACTGAAAAGACGAGTTTTTCGTTGCACATGAATATTAATTTATTTATTTATTTATTTCAACCAATCGTGTCGTGCAACCCCCTGGGTGAAAGCAGTGATTTATTTTTGTCGAAAAGGGTTAATGTATTCACTGATTTCATTTTTGTCAGACTGTGTCATAGAGAGGGTTTGTACTGAATATGCAATATCCTTATATTTGAATCTGTTTTAAGACATTTAAAAAAAAATATTTTAGAAGCATAACAATACAGCGACTGGATTTGGTGTCACAGTTTGCTCCCAATTCATACTGGAATATTGCCAGCAATAAGTAATAAAGCTTGGTCAGAAAACCATTTATTCCCGACATCATATTCAATGGCTAGTTCACAGGATCTATAACAGTAAATAAATAAACAGAAATCATTTTGATGCGTGGTTTTCAGACGACACTGCCATATTGCACAGATATTCAACACCACCATATCGAATTTGGATTTGGACCATACCATTTCAAGCTGCAGGGTGTCTAAATAATGACTCAACAAACAATAAACACATTTTCCATCCACGACACACATTTTAGTCATAATTGAACAACCAAGAAAGCAACAAATATCAGGCTGCATCCTGAAAACAACGAGATAGCACATTACAAACATGAAATCCACCACCCCTCGAAATACACCCTATAACATTAGTGGTTCCTATACTCATTTGCATCTATGTACAACGAGCTTAGCCAATAGATGCACTTGACTCGTCGAACTTTTGACCAACCACTCATTCTAATTATTGTTGAGTGATGACGCTATTTACTAATGAGGAATCTTTTAAAAGAATTAATCAGATATATATATCAAAGTGAAAATAATGATATTGTATTTGTGTTTTTGTTGGTGAAGCCATTTTTGAAAGGAACATGCTCAATGTGAATTTATAATATAGTAAATTTATCAACCAAGATTAAATAATCCATGCAATAATATATTCATTTTGTGTTTTGTAATTTTGTTTTTTTGAAGTCATTTCCAACGTGTGTGAGTGCGTGTACTTGCATTACTAATGTTGCGAGGACACAAATAGATATATATACACAACTTCCGAGGACGTTTTTTTATAGTCCTCGAAAACATAATTTATATTAATAGTTAATTCAAATAATTAATGTCTGGCGTAGCTTAGGGTTAGTAAAGGGGTAAGGTACAGTTATATTAATATTACCCTCTTTACTAACCTTAAACTCCAATTAAATTGCAACCCTAGACAGAGTCGCGTTTTAATCCAAACATAACGCAAATATATTAAAAGTTAATTCAACTACCATTTCGACTACTACTGTGCCAGTGACCAGTGTTTGGTCGACCGGCCGGTGTTTTCAATGAGACATCGAGAGAAAAATTACGATAAAAATGCGGTCGTTTCCCGATCGGAAAATACAGTGCGGTCGGAAATCAAGCGATGAGCGGCCGATTAAAAGTGGGAAGTTGGGCGAAATGAGTACTGTAGTTCAAGTGATGTTAGCATATTTCTAATTTAGTTACAACTGTACAATATTTATTTACTCACTGTTACTATAGCCAGAACGCTGTACGTGTCTTCAGTTTCAGGTTATTTCTTCTGCAGATTCTCTCGCAACTAAAAACTTGATCTTTCATTTGAAATTTCGAGAAACTTAACATGAATCGTTATGACATTCATACGCACAGCACCTAACAATGTTTCAACTTTTAAATTGTCAGTTAACAAGGTCTTTCATAGTAGCACTTCTATGAGATTGACGTACTAGAATGAATAGGTTCAATTATCAGTGTTCACTGATGACATCATTTGGCTGGCCCTCTAGAGGCGAAATGATGCCAGGAAAAGCGGACTCTTGTCGTCTGCTTCACAGCCCGTTTTATACCCGATATTTAGGGCATTTTGCAGCACATACAAGTTGTTTTATCGACAGAATTCATTCATAGATTTCAAATTTCATGTACAGAGTGTCAAAAGCCAGACCTCTGCTCCCCTTTAAACATATTCAATAATGATACCGTATCTACCACGGACAAAGAAGGGTCACACAGACAACGATTATGGCCAGTAGTTAAGTGTAATATGCATAGTGACATAAATTGCAGGCACATACACAAATGACACTTTTTTTAATGAGAATCTAGGACTGTGGACTGCCTGATACTCCCACTATTTTCGACATGTGGTTGACTATCAACGCCAATATAAGAGAGACACTATATGTAGGAGTATGACTGGTGTATAAACAGATTGGTGTGAGAATACAGATCTATTTATAGGTGTGAATCCTTATTGTAACTACAGTGCTGGACGTCTCGAGGTGGCGCCCTTTATTTGCCTGAAACTCATCTAAACATTGGATGTTTGGTTAAAGCATTTCGTATATAAAATCTTTATTCTTGCCAGGAAAAGTCCATCGGCTCAAAACAGGTTAGTATATATCACAAGAGTATTCCTTTTCCCAGTTACAATAATACTTCAGTGGCATCTCTTCTAAACTTAAACGCATGGTACACAAAAGCTGCAATTACATGTTGTAAAAGTGATTCATTTGGGGTTGTATACGTACGCAAAGTAATAAATTTAATATCAGTCGGCGGGGTAAGATAGAAATGTGGTATATAACGGTTGGTTTCTCATTTCTTGGTAAAAATTACATACAAGTAAAAAATGGAATTCGATTTCAATTACATTCAGATCACAAAATTCACATAAGCGCTGGTCTCTCACTAGAGTACCCCCACTCTCTCTCTATTATCAGGCAATGGCATGAACAGCGCTAAAGCTTGTATATGGACATGACCTTCAACAGAAAATAAAAAAATTTTCCGGTTCAAGGGTAGATTTAAAGAGACAATATATATCTAGTTTGTCTAACGAACAGATATCTGCCCGCCACTCATAAGTTAAAAAAGTTGTCACAAAAGTATTAATAAATTCATTTACATTGCTTCCTGTGCAAACCAAACCTCAGCCATATTGCAAGTAAAAAGTAATGTTTAACACCATAAATCCAAGTATGTCTCGTCCTATTACCTGACTCTTCAATATTGTATAGCATATTGTAGCATTTTTTTTTTGGATAACGTGTATTGGGCATAGAGATTAATTTCGCCCAATACTTAATGAAACACTTTGCAGTGTGCAGAAAATATGGGAATCGTCTACATTCTCCTCACATTCGCTGTTGTTCGTGCTCGCATAGAAACACCGAGAAATGATCAGCAAGCCAAGAGATGAACACGTTCTAAGTGGTCGTATTTTTGGAGGTCCCGAATTTTAGCGACGGAAATCAAAATAGGGAGAATTTGGGTGTCGACAATTTTAAAATAAACGTCGTATGGGAGTGCTTTTGACAGTGATAAAGATCGAAAAGTGGACAGAAGACCTTTTCTAGCTTGTTGTGCCAATAATTCGGTTGCCATGGACCATTGGAGTATACTAGAAAACAGAATGCCAACTTGAAGATATTTATAATACGACACAGTGTCAGTCATTTGGCCCGGTACACTTCTCGTTGTTGCATAAATGGCCTCTCTTAAAAAACAATAATCTTGGTTTTACAGACATATTCCAGTTATCACAGTACACATCTAGAATACGGCATGAAACTAAATTAATGAAGAGACGTGCAGGATTGTTGTTTCGCTGATTACAGAATTTTGATTATCTCTAATTAGCAAAGCGAACCATTTACTAATTGAAGTCCCGGTATTTTCGGCAAACGTTTTATGTCGTTATATCATAGACCTTAGAAAAAGAAGGTCTATGGTTATATACACTACTGAAAGGTGGATATACTGGTCAAGTTTCGATCGACAGTTGTAAATATTGTATGTGTAAGACCCTTGTTTCCGTCGCTTATTACAGATTTCCGATTATCTGTAATTAGCGAAACGAACGATTTACTGAATAAAATATTGTTATTTTTGATTATCTGTAATTAGTGAAACGAACCATTTTCTGATTAAATATTGTTATTTTCGGCAAATGTTTTATGTAGTTATATACACCACTGAAAGATAAATAAAGTTTCGTCCGACTCATGGTGGGCTTTATTGGTCCTCTCCGACGACTGAACGGGATATGTTACGTCTGTATATACTTTGAAGGGGGTACCGGATTCGATAAAAAGATAAAATGAATAAAACAGGAAGGAAGTGTGAAAATGAGCAGTGAGCAGCAGACACGTCCTATTTTTAAAGAGCAGTGCTGCACACCTTCTACGGGCAGCGTCGTCCCACATCAATACAGAACGCGCCATCTCGATTTAAAGCGGGAGGGTCGTCACCTGCGCACGCGCGGGAATTGAGTCCCAAGCGACGATAACACTCGCTAAAAACGCAAAGACTCACGGGCAGAAGCTTGTTTGTAAACAATGACACGCTGTGGCCATTTGACGCACGCGGAGGTGACGACTACCCGCTTTAAGATAATATACAATCCTTTGTTGTTACAAGTGTTTTATTTTATTTTTAATCACTACATCTATTAACGATACACCCCTAGACGCAATATTTTATTTCATTTCAAGAGTAAAGATCCGTTGCCAAAACTCAAAATTATTACATAGTCAACGACATCCATTTTCTTTTTCTGCCCACATGCCACTCTGTGACCCATGCCGTGGATTTCCTGTTTGTAATGCCATGTGATAATTGATAATGGAACAAAACCCTATTAAAATAATTCTAAAATAAAGTATTAATACCTAATTGATTCTAGATTCATCGACCCGAGTAAAAAAAGACCTTTGCGATCAATATCCAAAAGTAAGAAGTTGACGAATTTTTGTTTGACTAATAAAGACCGCTAGTCAGCGAGGGCGCTGTTACAAAAACATGTTTTCGTGAATCATGTGATTCTGGGGTCAAGGGTTGCGGATCATATGACTGAATGTTATTTTTCTGCGTGTTCCCTTTGTCGCGTTATATTTGTTAATAGTTGAATATTGGGTAAGTATTCCGTTTATTATGCACGACCTGATTGTAGTTCGGTACACAAACCGTATCTGATCGAATAATTGCGACGATCTTTCTAATTTTACGTTTCACAAAGGAATTCAACCTTCAGTCAGGAATGACCTGACATAATACAAGGGAACTTTACCGGTTCTTGCTGCAGTTTATGCAGCTCTCTTGGTCGTGGTATACGTTGCGGGGCGACCACGTAATATCAAAATAGCTTAAGCGGCCAATAAGAGCTGCTAAACTGCAGCAATACCGGTTCAATCTATTTGAAGCTTACCTATTTTCACCGAGATGTACGTCGCATCTGCCCTCAATCAAATAGCGACCCTGGTGAAATTGGTTAAATTAGAAAGATTTGTGGCTTTCGAGAGCGTTTTAAGAAGATCGTGGTTATGCAAATCTATAATGATTTGAGGCCGATGGTTATTCGATCTTCATAATAAGATAATAATGGTGTAAAATAAATGTATTGTACTAGATGAAAGCGTTTCATTCATTCTAAATGTAGAAAGAGTTCCTTAAGGCCCCCTCACCCTAACACTCCAGCAACCTCCCAATGTAATTCAGTATGCCCCTCCAAATAATTATAAGTGACCCAAAGAGGGTATATGCAATTGAAATGGAGGAGAGGTATTGGAGTGGCAGGGTTAGGATTAGAGTTATGGGTGAGGGGCTCTAAGGAACCCTGAATGTTTTTGTTTCGTCTAGAACTTGTTTTATAACACTTGCAGAGTCAGCCTTAGTCAGTGTATACATGTTATTTTTGTACATCTGCCGGGTATGTGCATTGTACCCACCTACTAGCCAAACTATTTGGCTTTGATGACTTGTGTACTGTAGAATACTTTATTTTCGATTGGAATTAATTTTCGCTATTTTCGCTGAAAGAATGATTCAGTGAAAATAAAATCCAGCAAATATACCTTTTTTCCTATATTTTACAATCAACTTGTCAAAAATCAGTGAAAATAAATTCCATACAAAATGTCTTTTCAGTGAAAATTAATTCCAGCTAAAATAAAGTATTCTACAGTATTCTTTTTTCAAGTTTATCTCTGATGATCATATCTAAATCATAATTAGTCTTGTCAAGTGTTACACTCTTACTATTCTGTACATTTTTTTCCCTGTGTAACAATTTGATTGAGAACTTTCTAAAAGAAAGCTGTTTCTTTTCTGGGGACACAAATACACCATTTTTTTTGAAAATGACAATTATATTTCCATTGAACTATGATACAAGTTGTGATGTGTATTTGCTGAAAAAGATGAACCACTGAAAGACACATAAGTGGGCAACAGCCTTCATCAACATGGCTGTTTGGTTTATTGTTTATTGATATGAAACATTAACCTACTTGGCGAGCACATATCATTTGATTGATGAAAGATAACTAAAATGACTATGATTGGCTGGCGTTACACAACAGAGATACAATATTGTGCATCATGTTTCTCTAATCTGTGTCAAGCAGTATAAAATAACATTACTGTAGAGGGCAGCATAACAAATAGAAATGGCTAGTGTATTCATGACAGAGACTAGAAATCGATTCTACATACAATATAGATGCCACTTAGACTTGCTTTGAAGTCTGTTGCGTTTCGCGTTCAATCCTCGTTTACGTAATTTATGTTTATTTTTCAAGAATTTTTCATCGGAATCGCAACAGACTGCAAGCAAGTCTAGATGCCACTGACCTTGAGGTAGAATTCTGATTACATGCACAATAACAAGAAATTTGAATATGTAGGTCAGTGGCGAGTTTGTACTTTAATTTAAAAGATAAAATCTATTTCTTATCTATTGTTATTGTGTTGTACATATAAGTAGATCCTGTTAATGATTTACAGTTACAGTACACAGTGACCTTGTTTATTTTCTACACCTGAGGTCACCATTTGCTTAACTCAAAGACATATGCTACGTTTACATGGCAGCATTCTATCAGAGCTGAACTACTGCTCCTCCCACTGATTAACAGGAGATTATCTCCAATGTGTTTATACAGTTGGGGGCCAAACGAGAGCCGAGATCTACCAGTGTTTAATTCAGTTTGATTCGAGCCGAACGGAACAGCGACCTCAAATACTTAATATGAAAACAACATGACTGAAAACGATTTAGGTGTCATACTTGTGTTGTTTCTTTACATGGCACGATGCTGTTGAGCTGGGAGAAAAAAGAAACAATCATGAGTCTGAGACAATGCACTGGTGTTATGATTTAGGTATCTTGAATAAACCACACTAAATGTGTTACAGCCTCTTCGCTTAAGTTATTGTCATGCAAAATTATTACCATCTTGTAAATGTAATTGTTCAACTGTTGTGATATGTGTAACAGTTGTCAATCTAAACCTAGTAGGAACACGTCACTGTACCGTGACCGCTTCTACGATTTTTATCTTTGGTGTCTTTACAAAGTTTCCTCAATTTCCATTGGATCTGTTCATTCGTCCTTTCAAGTTTTTGTCACATAATTTCGTACACAATTTTTGACTCCCATGTGCGAAGCACAAAATGGGAGTCTTTGCAGTTAGTGTGTCTGTATGTGTGTGTGTGTGTGTATGTGTGTCCGACTGTTCCACTGCTATCTCAAGAACCATACATCGGTTTTTGATGAAACTTGGTGCATAGATGCTCTGGGCCAATGCGCAGATTTGATTAGGTTTAGGTAAAAATCCATGCTCGTTAATTACCTAATTTGCATGATAATTAGCTAATTTTTAGCTGTTCTATGACTGTTCCATTGATATCTAAAGAACCACTCATTGGATTTTGATGAAACTTGGTACATAGATGCTCTGAACTATTGCTAGGTTTTGATTAGGTTTTGGTTAAAATCCGTGCATATTAATTACCTAATTTGCATGATAATTAGCTAATTTTTAGCTGTTCTATGACTGTTCCACTGATATCTAAAGAACCACTCATTGAATTTTGATGAAACTTGGTACATAGATGCTCTGAACATATGCGCAGATTTGATTAGTTTTTGGTAAAAATCCGTGCATATTAATTACCTAATTTGCATGATAATTAGCTATTTTTTAG